ATTCTATTTGAACTGCTTGTCTGCTGTAGCAGAAGATTGTTTATCTGGGAAGCATCCAAACAACAGAAGTGTTCTAAAAGGATTTACAAAAAAATAATCATTCAAAAACATCACTCGATTATTGTAATCGGACATGATTTGCTCTGAGAGCCATCATGTGAGGTGATGAGGTGATATCCTGGGCTGTGATTGTCAATTGGGATTGTTAAAGAGGCCCAGTCCCCAGCTCGCAGGTGTGGTGGTGCAAATGGTATTGGATAATAACCATGACATATGGTGGCTTTAGTAATTTATTAGTTACAGTATTATTAGTTACAGTTCTCAGTCATTTGTATGTTTTAGAAGGTAATAGCTGTTCTAAAACTTGAAATGGAAAGTGAGAAAAACAATACGTGTTTTATATTAAATGTCTTTCTTCCTCATTATTTTGCTCTTTTAGAGTTAAAATATCTAAATTCTAGGTACTATATAAATGATCTTTTGTTGGGAGAAGTTTGTGTGAAAAATAATTAAAGCAGAATAGAACCATTATTTCGAACTTTGGAGCCTGTTAGTCTTGAGTTTGAATCCCAGCTTTACTAATAAGTTGACCTGTTTACTTAATTCTCGAAATCTTTGTTAAATGGATTACTACCACCTACCTTACAGACTTACTTTGAAGATTAAATGTGATAACATAAGTAACATGATAGGTATTCATTAAATATTAGTCTCAAACACATTTCCCTAAAATACATTTCCTGTTATTGTCTTTTTCACCAGACCAACACAATTCTGAAAACGGTATTATCTGACAGTTTTTAAAGATTAATGAATAATATATAAATTGAATTTGCCATCTTATCTTCTAGGCCCTGGAACATCTCTGAAACTCCCTGGATCTAATCAGACAGGAGGGCCTAGTCAAGCTGTCAGGTATATGTACTTCTATTTCATATCCTGTACCACTAAGTATTGACCAGACTATGTAAGAGTCTTTCCTTAATTGATCTTTTTTTGTATTATAACAATTTATAATCTTCACAGGCCAATCACTCAAGCTGGCAGACCTATTACAGGTTTCCTTAGGCCCAGTACACAGAGTGGAAGGCCAGGCACCATGGAACAGGCCATCAGAACACCCAGAACTGCCTACACAGCCCGTCCTATCACCTCATCTGGAAGATATGTCAGGCTGGGAACGGTAAATTTTGTCCGCTTCCCTATAACCTTGTATTACCAAAGTAACTTTGGGTTATGTTACATCATTTTCCACTATTATTATAGTGGAGAATTATATGGGAGATTTTTGAAGGCAATTCTTTTTTATTTATGTTGCCTTTATAATTTTTATATACATTAAACTTAATTTATGTTTCAACAGAAAGTTTCAGATTTCTTGTTCTATTGTGTTTCCCCCATAGGCTTCCATGCTTACAAGTCCTGATGGACCATTTATAAATTTATCAAGACTGAATTTAACAAAGTATTCCCAGAAACCTAAATTGGCAAAGGTATGTACTTAAAGTGATTTTAAGTTTTGAAGCAATGTTAGAAGTATGATGATAATGACATTATAGGAAATGGATAAAAATATCTGAAGGAATTTCTTGATTGAAATGGAAACGTTTACTCCGATATGTAATATGTAATGTGTACTTTAATTTTACATATCTTAGTTTTTTAGTTAATTGAATTAAGGAAAATCAATCAGAAATAAAGTATATAAACTATTATTTTAGGAAATTCTTTTTTCCTTGATAAAGAGCAGTAATTTGTAACAAAGAAAGCAGGTATGCAGCATCACGTTCGCAGAACGAAGCTTAGGAGGTCATCTGTATGTGTGTATATTTCTTTTTTCTTTTTCAGGTTGGACTGTTTTCAGAAAAATAATTTTCTGTTCTTATAGGATTTGAGGACTATCAAAAGGATGATATGAAATATGTACTCCTAATTAGTAATTAATCAGACATCTCAATAAGAATTACTCAAGCCAGATAGTGGCAAGCCAGCTACATTAGTAATTATAACTACTCAGAGATTAAATGTTCCTTTAAATTAAAGAGAAAATGAGAGGCAGAGGGAGAAAGAAGGAGAGGGAGGAG